CAATACTGTCACTATGGCGGTGTGTTCACTCACAGGATGAGTGGCGCTGCCCAATACTGTCACTATGGCGGTGTGTTCACTCACAGGATGAGTGGCGCTGCCCAATAAACTCGCCCCTCGGGGCATAATTTAAAAATTTAAAAATGGGTTCAGGGAGGGTAAATCTTGCCTTACAGGCTTAATAGAATTCTACGATCAGGTGACAAAGATTAAGCAAGAAAGAGAGGGCTGGGCGGACTGCATTTTCCTGGATTATCGGAAAGCCTTTGACACAGTACCGCATAAGAGGCTGGTACATAAGCTGGAGAGACAGGCAGGTGTAGCTGGTAAGGTGCTCCAGTGGATAAGGGAGTACCTAAGCAATAGGAAGCAGAGAGTTACGGTGAGGGGTGAGACCTCCGATTGGCGTGAAGTCACCAGTGGAATCCCACAGGGCTCTGTACTCGGTCCTATCTTGTTTCTGATATATGTAAATGATCTCCCGGAGGGTATCGATTCATTCCTCTCAATGTTTGCGGACGATGCCAAAATTATGAGAAGGATTAAGGCAGAAGAGGACTGTTTGAGGCTTCAAGAAGACCTGGACAAGCTGAAGGAATGGTCGAACAAATGGTTGTTAGAGTTTAACCCAAGCAAATGTAATGTAATGAAGATAGGTGTAGGGAGCAGGAGGCCAGATACAAGGTATCATTTGGGAGATGAAATACTTGAAGAGTCAGAGAGAGAGAAAGACCTGGGGGTTGATATCACGCCAGACCTGTCCCCTGAAGCTCATATCAAGAGGATAACATCAGCAGCATATGCCAGGTTGGCTAACATAAGAACGGCCTTTAGAAACTTGTGTAAGGAATCTTTCAGAACATTATATACCACATATGTCAGACCAATCCTGGAGTATGCGGCTCCAGCATGGAGTCCATATCTAGTCAAGGATAAGACTAAACTGGAAAAGGTTCAAAGGTTCAAAGGTTTGCCACCAGACTAGTACCCGAGCTGAGAGGTATGAGCTACGAGGAGAGACTACGGGAATTAAACCTCACGTCGCTGGAAGACAGAAGAGTTAGGGGGGACATGATCACCACATTCAAGATTCTGAAGGGAATTGATAGGGTAGATAAAGACAGTCTATTTAACACAAGGGGCACACGCACTAGGGGACACAGGTGGAAACAGAGTGCCCAAATGAGCCACAGAGATATTAGAAAGTACATTTTCAGTGTCAGAGTAGTTGACAAATGGAATGCATTAGGCAGTGATGTGGTGGAGGCTGACTCCATACACAGTTTCAAGTGTAGATATGATAGAGCCCAATAGGCTCAGGAACCTGTACACCAGTTGATTGACAGTTGAGAGGCGGGACCAAAGAGCCAGAGCTCAACCCCCGCAAGCACAACTAGGTGAGTACAAATAGGCGAGTACACGCACTCGCAGCCGAGTCGACAGCGCTCGGGGGATGTAGTCCGAAGGGCCCGGGTTCGATTCCTGGCCGAGGCAGAAGCAAACGGGCACAGTTTCTTTCACCCTGATGCCCCTGTTCACCTAGCAGTAAATAGGTACCTGGGAGCTAGACAGCTGCTACGGGCTGCTTCCTGTGGATGTGTGTGAGAGAGACAAATATATATAGTCGATATGACAAAGAAAATAACAGATTGAGAGGCAGTAAATTAGACACAAAAACGATTAGAAAGTCGGGGCCCAAGAGCTAACAGCTGGATACTGCAGACACAAATAACAAATACAAACAAACACACATTATATATGCAGAGTTGGAACACACCTGCTGGCGGTCAGTGTGTCCTGGTCCTGGCTTATATGATGCCTCATATATCACACTCATGTTATGACGTCATATATGAGAGTGTGATATGACGATGACATGACGTGATATATGACATGATATATGACATGATATATGACACTGATATGACATAATATATGACAATATATGACAGTGATATGACATGATATATGACAATATATGACACTGATATGACATGATATATGACAATATATGACATGATATATGACACTGATATGACATAATATATGACAATATATGACACTGATATGACATGATATATGAAAATATATGACATGAAATATGACAGTGATATGACATATATGACAATATACGACATAATATATGGCAAAATGTGACATGATATATGAGGGTGACATGCCATGATGCACGAGAGGAGCCAGACTGTTGTGGCTTGCACGTGACATCCCTCAACATACTGGTCGACAAATACATCCTGAGCTAAAATATCGAAAGTCAGTTCGACACAAAAATTGAGATGAAAAGTTTTACATAATTGTGGTTTATTCCAACCCCAAAACCACCGTATTATTGACGCGTTTAGCATCTTCAACGATGGATGTGTTGCTGGGATTCGAACCCTTCTGCCGAAGCAAATGTAACGGTTATTACCTGCTGGGTTGATACCTGGTTGATACCTGGTTGATGGGGTTCTGGGAGTTGTTCTACTGCCCAAGCCCGGCCCGAGGCCAGGCTTGACTTGTGAGAGTTTGGTCCACCAGGCTGTTGCTTGGAGCGGCCCGCAGGCCCACATATACCTGGTTGATGGGGTTCTGGGAGTTCTTCTACTGCCCAAGCCCGGCCCGAGGCCAGGCTTGACTTGTGAGAGTTTGGTCCACCAGGCTGTTGCTTGGAGCGGCCCGCAGGCCCACATATACCTGGTTGATGGGGTTCTGGGAGTTGTTCTACTCCCCAAGCCCGGCCCGAGGCCAGGCTTGACTTGTGAGAGTTTGGTCCACCAGGCTGTTGCTTGGAGCGGCCCGCAGGCCCACATATACCTGGTTGATGGGGTTCTGGGAGTTCTTCTACTCCCCAAGCCCGGCCCGAGGCCAGGCTTGACTTGTGAGAGTTTGGTCCACCAGGCTGTTGCTTGGAGCGGCCCGCAGGCCCACATATACCTGGTTGATGGGGTTCTGGGAGTTCTTCTACTGCCCAAGCCTGGCCCGAGGGCAGTAGAAGCCCTCAACCGGACAACCGGACCAACCACAGTCCGGTTGATCCGGCACTTCTCAGAAAACAGTCCAGTTTTCTCTTGAAGATGTCCACGGTTGTTCCGGCAAAATTTCTTAGTCGGTGGGAGGACGTTGAACAACCGTGGACCTCTGATGTTCATACAGTGTTCTCTGATTGTGCCTATGGCACCTCTGCTCTTCACTGGACCTCTGATGTTTATACAGTGTTCTCTGATTGTGCCTATGGCACCTCTGCTCTTCACTGGTTCTATTCAGCATTTTCTTCCATATCGTTCACTCCAGTACGTTGTTATTTTACTGTGTAGATTTTGGACCTGGTCCTCCAGTATTTTCCATGTGTATATTATTTGGTATCTCTCTCGTCTTCTTTCTAGAGAGTACATTTGTAGAGATTTGAGACGATCCCAATAATTTAGGTGCTTTATCTCGTCTATGCGTGCCGTATATGTTCTCTGTATTCCCTCTATTTCAGCAATCTCTCCTACTCAGAAGGGGGAAGTGAGTACTGAGCAGTACTCAAGACGGGACAACACAAGTGACTTGAAGAGTACAACCATTGTGAGGGGATCTCTGGACTTGAAAGTTCTCGTAATCCATCCTTTCATTTTTCTGGCTGTCGCAATACTTGCTTGGTTATGCTCCCTAAACGTTAGGTCGTCGGACATCATTATTCCCAAATCCTTTACATGGTGTTTTCCTACTATGGGTACATTTGATTGTGTTTTGTACTCTGTATTATGTTTAAGGTCCTCATTTTTGCCGTACCTGAGTACCTGGAATTTATCACTGTTAAACATCATGTTATTTTCTGCTGCCCAGTCGAAAACTTTGTTAATATCTGCTTGTAGTTTTTCAATGTCTTCAGCAGAGGTAATATTTATGCTGATTTTTGTGTCATCTGCAAAGGATGATACGAAGCTGTGACTTGTATTTGAGTCTATATCTGATGAGAGAATAAGGAACAGTAGCGGTGCAAGGACTGTACCTTGAGGTACAGAGCTTTTAACTGCACTTGGACTAGATTTTATATGGTTGACTGTTACTCTTTGTGTTCTGTTCGACAGAAAACTGAGTATCCAGCGTCCGACTTTACCAGTTATTCCCATTGACCTCATTTTGTGTGCTATCACGCCATGGTCACATTTGTCGAATGCCTTTGTGAAATCCGTGTATACCACATCAGCATTCTGGTTTTCTTCTAATGCATCAGTGACTTTGTCGTAATGCTCAAGTAGCTGTGAGAGGCACGATCTTCCTACTCGAAATCCATGTTGGCCTGGGTTGTGAAGGTCATTGGTCTCCATGAAATTGGTGACCTGACTCCTAATCACTCTCTCAAATACTTTTATGATGTGCGATGTTAGTGCAACTGGTCTATAATTCTTTGCCAATGCTTTGCTCCCTCCCTTGTGTAGAGGGACTATGTCTGCTGCTTTAAGTGCATCTGGTATCTCCCCCGTGTCCAAGCTCTTCCTCCACACTATACTGAGTGCCTGTGCTACTGGCACTTTGTCATCCTCAGTGTATGAACCTTCACTTGTAAGAATAGGTCCAATACTGGCAGTGGTTTTTGCTTTTGATTTCGCATATGTGAAGAAATATTTTGGGGTTTTCTTTATTTTGTGAACTGCTTTCTGTTCTAGTTGCCTTTCTTCAGTCTGATATGAATGCTTCAGTCTCTGTTCTACTTGTTTATTCTCCCTGTTTAAATTATTCCTTCTTTGTATGGAGAGTCGTGTCTGCTTAAGCATTTCCGTTAATTTTTTTCCTCCTTTTATAGTGTCGTCTGCGTTCTCTTTCTACATTGGAACTCTTTCTGGCTTTCCTCAAAGGAACATGTTTCAGACAGACTTCATATGCTTCAGAAGTCAGTTTTTCTATTCCCCGTGTAGGGCTTTCATTACTTAGAACAGTTTCCCATTGAATGTTTGTACGTTCCCTGATTATTTTCTACCAGTCTATCATTTTATTATTAAAATTGAACTTACTGAATAACCCTTCTCGCTTGTCGTTTGTCTTGGGTTGTTTCTGTTGCATCTGTTTGTATATTAGAATAATAATTAGATTTATAATTTCAACCTTAATACCAAGTACCTCTACCACCACATTGGTCCAGTTCAGGAGCTCTGTGCATGCCAGCTCCTCTTTAATACACAGACCTCCTCCTCCACTTGACCTAATTACTCTGTCACATCTATATAGATTATAATTTGGGATCCAGATTTCACAATCCATGAAGTCTTTCGTGTGGGGTTTCTGTAAATGCATCAAATGATGAGTTTGATTCTATTAGAAGGCCATTTATGAACATAATTTTATTTCTAGATTTTGACTTAATTTTACGAGTTTAATACGAGTATTTAATTTATTTTATAAAATAATTTTATTTTGACTTTAATTTTAAGATTTTGAACTTAATTTTATTTCTAGATTTTGACTTTAGACCTAGTATGTTTGCAAATATGAATGTTTTTCCCAAACAGCGTGTCACTTCTGATGGGCTCAGCTAGTTCTCCCTCCTACCACAGTCTACCACAATGACCGGGTGCCCTCGTTGGTGATCAACCAGGCTGTTGGACGCAGCTGCTCGCAGCCTCAAGCTTAAATATTTAAAACGTGGAAAATACTTATTTTAAAGGTGTGTATTCATGGACCGCCATGAAGGGAGTTGTTATTGTACAGAGCAGTGATGTGGTGCTGGCCCGGGGCGCTCCGCCACCATGGCTGCTGTTTGACGAGGCTGTTAGCGCCAGCTAAGTGCACGTCCTCCTCCTCCTGCAGGACTGGGAACCCCCACTACCTCCTCCTACAGGACGGGGGACCCCCACTACCTCCTCCTACAGGGCAAAAAAGAAAGCTAGATATACCTAGGCAGAGGGTACAACATACTGGGTACAACATACTGGGAACAACATACTGGGAACAACATACTGGGTACAACATACTGGGAACAACATACTGGTACAACATACTGGGAACAACATACTGGGTACAACATACTGGGAACAACATACTGGGAACAACATACTGGGAACAACATACTGGGTACAACATACTGGGAACAACATACTGGGTACAACATACTGGGAACAACATACTGGGTACAACATACTGGGTACAACATACTGGGAACAACATACTGGGAACAACATACTGGGAACAACATACTGGGTACAACATACTGGGTACAACATACTGGTACAACATACTGGGAACAACATACTGGGAACAACATACTGGGAACAACATACTGGGTACAACATACTGGGACAACATACAACAACATACTGGTACAACATACTGGGAACATACTGGGTACAACATACTGGGTACAACATACTGGTACAACATACTGGGAACAACATACTGAACAACATACTGGTACAACATACTGGGTACAACATACTGGGAACAACATACTGGTACAACATACTGGGTACAACATACTGGTACAACATACTGGGAACAACATACTGGTACAACATACTGGGAACAACATACTGGGTACAACATACTGGGAACAACATACTGGGAACAACATACTGGGAACAACATACTGGTACAACATACTGGGAACAACATACTGGGTACAACATACTGGGTACAACATACTGGTACAACATACTGGTACAACATACTGGGAACAACATACTGGGAACATCATACTGGGTACAACATTCTGGGAACAACATACTGGGTACAACATACTGGGAACAACATACTGGGTACAACATACTGGTACAACATACTGGGAACAACATACTGGGAACAACATACTGGTACAACATACTGGGAACAACATACTGGGAACAACATACTGGGTACAACATACTGGGTACAACATACTGGTACAACATACTGGTACAACATACTGGTACAACATACTGGTACAACATACTGGGAACAACATACTGGGAACAACATACTGGGTACAACATACTGGGAACAACATACTGGTACAACATACTGGGAACAACATACTGGGTACAACATACTGGTACAACATACTGGGAACAACATACTGGGAACAACATACTGGGTACAACATACTGGGTACAACATACTGGTACAACATACTGGTACAACATACTGGTACAACATACTGGTACAACATACTGGGAACAACATACTGGGAACAACATACTGGGTACAACATACTGGTACAACATATTGGGAACAACATACTGGTACAACATACTGGGAACATACTGGGTACAACATACTGGTACAACATATTGGAACAACATACTGGTACAACATACTGGGTACAACATACTGGGAACAACATACTGGTACAACATACTGGGTAAAACATACTGGTACAACATACTGGGAACAACATACTGGTACAACATACTGGGAACAACATACTGGTACAACATACTGGGAACAACATACTGGGAACAACATACTGGGAACAACATACTGGTACAACATACTGGGAACAACATACTGGGAACAACATACTGGGTACAACATACTGGGAACAACATACTGGGTACAACATACTGGTACAACATACTGGTACAACATACTGGGAACAACATACTGGGAACAACATACTGGGTACAACATACTGGGAACAACATACTGGGTACAACATACTGGGAACAACATACTGGGTACAACATACTGGTACAACATACTGGGAACAACATATTGGGAACAACATACTGGGTACAACATACTGGGAACAACATACTGGGTACAACATACTGGTAACAACATACTGGGTACAACATACTGGGAACAACATACTGGGAACAACATATTGGGAACAACATACTGGGTACAACATACTGGGAACAACATATTGGGAACAACATACTGGGTACAACATACTGGGAACAACATACTGGGAACAACATATTGGGAACAACATACTGGGTACAACATACTGGGAACAACATACTGGGTACAACATACTGGTACAACATACTGGGAACAACATATTGGGAACAACATACTGGGTACAACATACTGGTACAACTTACTGGGAACAACATACTGGGAACATACTGGGTACAACATACTGGGAACAATATACTGGGTACAACATACTGGGTACAACATACTGGGAACAACATACTGGGTACAACATACTGGGAACAACATACTGGGTACAACATACTGGGAACAACATACTGGGTACAACATACTGGGAACAACATACTGGGAACAACATACTGGGAACAACATACTGGGAACAACATACTGGGAACAACATACTGGGAACAACATACTGGGAACAACATACTGGTACAACATACTGGGTACAACATACTGGGTACAACATACTGGGAACAACATACTGGGTACAACATACTGGGTACAACATACTGGGTACAACATACTGGGAACAACATACTGGGTACAACATACTGGGAACAACATACTGGGAACAACATACTGGGTACAACATACTGGGTACAACATTCTGGGAACAACATACTGGGAACAACATACTGGTACAACATACTGGGTACAACATACTGGGTACAACATACTGGGAACAACATACTGGGTACAACATACTGGGTACAACATACTGGGTACAACATACTGGGAACAACATACTGGTACAACATACTGGGTACAACATACTGGGAACAACATACTGGGAACAACATACTGGGAACAACATACTGGGTACAACATACTGGGAACAACATACTGGTACAACATACTGGGAACAACATACTGGGTACAACATACTGGTACAACATACTGGGAACAACATACTGGGAACAACATACTGGGTACAACATACTGGGTACAACATACTGGTACAACATACTGGTACAACATACTGGTACAACATACTGGTACAACATACTGGGAACAACATACTGGGAACAACATACTGGGTACAACATACTGGTACAACATATTGGGAACAACATACTGGTACAACATACTGGGAACATACTGGGTACAACATACTGGGTACAACATACTGGTACAACATACTGGTACAACATACTGGGTACAACATACTGGGAACAACATACTGGTACAACATACTGGGTACAACATACTGGTACAACATACTGGGAACAACATACTGGTACAACATACTGGGAACAACATACTGGTACAACATACTGGGAACAACATACTGGGAACAACATACTGGGAACAACATACTGGTAACAACATACTGGGTACAACATACTGGGTACAACATACTGGTACAACATACTGGTACAACATACTGGGAACAACATACTGGGAACAACATACTGGGTACAACATTCTGGGAACAACATACTGGGTACAACATACTGGGAACAACATACTGGGTACAACATACTGGTACAACATACTGGGAACAACATATTGGGAACAACATACTGGTACAACATACTGGGAACAACATACTGGGAACAACATACTGGGTACAACATACTGGGTACAACATACTGGTACAACATACTGGTACAACATACTGGTACAACATACTGGGAACAACATACTGGGAACAACATACTGGGTACAACATACTGGGAACAACATACTGGTACAACATACTGGGAACAACATACTGGGTACAACATACTGGTACAACATACTGGGAACAACATACTGGGAACAACATACTGGGTACAACATACTGGGTACAACATACTGGTACAACATACTGGTACAACATACTGGTACAACATACTGGGAACAACATACTGGGAACAACATACTGGGTACAACATACTGGTACAACATATTGGGAACAACATACTGGTACAACATACTGGGAACATACTGGGTACAACATACTGGTACAACATATTGGAACAACAAACTGGTACAACATACTGGGTACAACATACTGGGAACAACATACTGGTACAACATACTGGGTAAACATACTGGTACAACATACTGGGAACAACATACTGGTACAACATACTGGTACAACATACTGGGAACAACATACTGGTACAACATACTGGGTAAAACATACTGGTACAACATACTGGGAACAACATACTGGATACAACATACTGGGAACAACATACTGGGTACAACATACTGGGAAC